TCCCTGATTTTTGAGTTCTGTACCTGGGTTCTCCAAAAAAGCATGTTGTTGGAGTCATTTATGAGTTAAGAGCCTTCATGTGACACAGAACTAAAGAGATAGAGTCAAGCTCATGTCTTAGGTTAGCTTGCGTCATTGGATTGCAAACATTTTTGCGTTAGACGCCCAGTTTTTAATTCTTTTTGCCTAACCAACAATTTTTATCGTTTTGTCTAGGGAGGTGGCAAAAAGGCAGATCACCCCCAGAAAACTTGTTTTTGATATCGGTAAAACTTGTGAAAACTTTTTACACCATGGGCGGAAATTTTTCTTGAGCGTTGTTTAACAAGTGATTTAAGGGAAGGGGTTTCAGCAAGAGCTTTTTTGGGGGGGGACTTGCGATATTTAAAAAAGAACATTCTTCCGTGGGGGGGTGAAAGCCTTGTTGCCCACATTTACAGTTTATGAGGTTATAAAACTTAATGCAACTGCACGTTTTCCAATCCATTTTGTTTTGTGTGTATTTCTTCTAGACACTTAGAAGATTCTTGTGACAGTGTTGGTTCATTTTTTTAAATTCTAATACCGAGTAGTTTTAATTTTTTTCAATCCCATCACTATATTGAAAAAAAAAGCTCCTCCTCATATTAAACCTTTGTAATTTGGGACACCAAAATAAATTTTGAGTTTTCATTTTGCATTAACTCCAAGGGTCGGAGAGAACTTTCTCTTGCTAATATCAACATGGGAGCAGCATAATCACTGAAGGACCTAACATGGCTATGTACATCATTCTCACGATTCTCACATTAGCACCATAGTTGGGGTTGTAGCCAGCAACAGCTTTGAGAGTATTTAGCCTGTCTTTGCATTTCTTATTTAGTTGTGGTATAGTGGATTTGTTAAAGGGTACATCTACACCAAGATATCTATAAGTTTTAACGTGGCTAATGTTTTCACCCTGCAAATAGATGGGTGGGGGATGTCGTTTGCTTGTTAATATCTTTGCTTTAGAGGAATATATTTCGAGGCCTAGTCGATTATATATTGCTTGAACTTCATTAAGAATGGTACTCATCTTATGCCCTGTTGTATGGATCATGATGTCATCAGCATAGCTTATAGCTATGCTGATGACATCATGATCCACACAAGGTGAGGCAGGTAGAGCATTTAGGAGAGCAGTAATCAGAATATTGAAGATTGAGACACTTATGCAGCATATGGGAATCTTTATTCAGGAAACGTTTCGCCACACAGTGGCTTCATCAGTCCAATACAAAGAGGAAGGCGTAAGGAGAGGAGGAGTGTGAGGTAATCAGTCCCTCAACCTGGAGTCGATGTGTTCAGTCCATCAATCTTGTAGAATGTACAGCATAGGGCCGTAGACGTGATGGACTGAACACATCGACTCCAGGTTGAGGGACTGATTACCTCACACTCCTGCTCTCCTTACGCCTTCCTCTTTGTATTGGACTGATGAAGCCACTGTGTGGCGAAACGTTTCCTGAATAAAGATTCCCATATGCTGCATAAGTGTCTCAATCTTCAACTTGTCGGTTTTTCAAACCATTCATCACAATCAGAATATTAAATAGCATGGGACTGAGAACTCCTCCCTGCGAGTACCTAGGAAAATTTCTTTAGACTCACCTCTAAAGCCTTGGTAGAGGACAGAGGATACTCTATTTGACAGGTATCCTATTATCCAGCAGAGTAAGCTACCTCCAATATTCATTTTGGCTAGTTCATGTAGTATAGGGATAAAACAGTAAAAGTCTCTGACTTTCGTGTGGCGAAAGGTTTTCATAATAAAAAATAGTAAGTGTTGAACTTGTCTAATTTACCAAGTTGCCGGTCCTCTAAACATTTTATCTACATCAAGGCAGATAAATTAATTTACATCAAGGTAGATAAATTTAGGTACGTTATCTACATCAGGGAACTTATACATCAAGGTTCCTTGATGTAGACGCTTGTACTAGTTAATGGGCCACTCCTGGCAAAAAACTGCATGGTAATATAATGGCATTTTATTCATCAGGGATTTGCATAACTTCATTGATAAGTAAGTTTATTTAGAATTGAGACATTTATGCAACGCATGTCTCAACTCTTCAACTTGTCGGTTTTCAAAACCATTCATCACAAGTTTATTTAGGTACAGGTACACGTAAGTACAATTATCATTCATAGTATCATAGTATAAATTACCTAGGGGTCCTTGATGCAATCCCAGTTGAATCTCATTGCAAGAATCATGTCAGAAGACACTGTACTGGATGTACGGTGTCTGGTAACATTTTACTGTCCGTTTCCTCATGATAATCGTGTGTTGAATGGTTTTGAAAACCGACAAGTTGAAGAATTGAGACACTTGTGCAACACATGGGAATCTTTATTGAAGAAACGTTTCGCCACACAGTGGCTTCATCAGTCCAATGCAAAGTAGAAATGAACATTAAAATGGTATAAAATACCGACAGATTGTTAGGTAAGACACATATGCAACAGTTAGGTATCTTTATTTCGAAACGTTTCGCCTACACAGTAGGCTTCTTCAGTCGAGTACAGAAAAGCTGATAGAAGCAGAAGATACTTGAAGACGATGTAATCAGTCCATCACCCTTCATCGTCTTCAAGTATCTTCTGCTTCTATCAACTTTTCTGTACTCGACTGAAGAAGCCTACTGTGTAGGCGAAACGTTTCGAAATAAAGATACCTAACTGTTGCATATGTGTCTTACCTAACAAAGTAGAAATGGGTAAGGAGAGGAGGAGTTCGAGGTAATCAGTCCCTCAACCTGGAATCGATGTGTTCAGTCCATCACTCTTGTAGGAAGTGCAGCATAGGGCCAGAGAGCTGGCTTATATACGGCAGTCAGATGAGTTGAAGCAGGAGGACTGAATGGACTGAACGCATCGATTCCAGGTTGAGGGACTGATTACCTCGAACTCCTCCTCTCCTTACCCATTTCTACTTTGTATTGGACTGATGAAGCCACTGTGTGGCGAAACGTTTCTTCAATAAAGATTCCCATGTGTTGCACAAGTGTCTCAATTCTTCAACTTGTCTGTTTTCAAAACCAGTCACCACATCTGTCAGACACTGCAACATCATGGGATCTTGGTACAAAGACTTCAACGCTTGCCCAACCTTTGGACGACGACCTACTTACACAAGTGGCAGGTCCCACTGTGATCCTGCCTCCTCCTGCTTCAACTCATCTGACTGCCGTACATAAGCCAGCTCTCTGGCCCTGTGATGCACTTCCTACAAGAGTGATGGACTGAACACATCGATTCCAAGTTGAGGGACTGATTACCTCGAACTCCTCCTCTCCTTACCCATTTCTACTTTGAACATTAAAATGGTATAAAATACCGACAGGTTGTTAGGTAAGACACATGTGCAACAGTTAGGTATCTTTATTCATAATAAAGATACCTAACTGTTGCACATGTGTCTTACCTAACATTTCTACTTTGTATTGGACTGATGAAGCCACTGTGGGGCCCGAAACGTTTCTTCAATAAAAGATTCCCATGTGTTGCACAAGTGTCTCAATTCTTCATGATAATCATGTCAAGAGACACCGTACTGAATGTTTCCTGATGAGAGCGGTGTCAGAAGACAATATACAATACGTTCCAGATGAGAACGGTGTTAGTAGACAATGTACTGTATTGTAGATGAATGGTTCAGAGAACCGACAAGCAGACAAATTAGAGACATGTGCAACACTTGGGTATTTTTAATGAGGAAACGTTTCGCCACACAGTGTCTTCATTAGTCCATACAAAGGAGAATGATGAAGAACAAGAGGAAGTCTAATTTATCAACTTTATCAACAAGTCTAATTTATCAACTTGTCGGTTCTCTGAACCAGTCATCTACATTCCTGTCTGACACAGCAACATCTTGGGATCTTAATACAGGAAATTCTTCATTTGCCTAACACTTGGGCCTGGTGGCTAAAGCTCCCGCTTCACACACGGAGGGCCCGGGTTCGATTCCCGGCGGGTGGAAACATTTCGACACGTTTCCTTACACCTGTTGTCCTGTTCACCTAGCAGCAAATAGGTACCTGGGTGTTAGTCGACTGGTGTGGGTCGCATTCTGGGGGACAAGATTAAGGACCCCAATGGAAATAAGTTAGACAGTCCTCGATGACGCACTGACTTTCTTGGGTTATCCTGGGTGGCTAACCCTCCGGGGTTAAAAATCCGAACGAAATCTTATCTTATCTTATCTTATCTTACTTCCACACTGGACAAATGTGATACCACCTACGACTGCTGCACCTCTCCTGCCTACAGTATATAAGCTACTTCTTCGCACATATGATGTATACTTTTCAAGATTGATGAACTGACTACATCGACTCAAGGCTGAGGGACTGATTACCTTAAACCCTCCTGTTCTTCACCATTCTCCTTTGTATGGACTGATGAATCCACTGCGTGGCTTAACGTTTCCTCATAAAGATACCCAAGAGTTGCACATGTGTCTAATTTATCGATATACTGCTGGTTTAGAAAGACACGTAAGCAAACACTATAACATATTTATTAGAAAACGTTTCGGTCCTGGGACCTTGATCAAGGTCCCCGGACCGAAACGTTTTCTAGTAAATATGTTATAGTGTGTTTGCTTACGTGTCTTTCTAAACCAACTTGTCGGTATTTATTACCAAGGTTTATACCATCGATATACTGTATGTTCCATGATGAGAATAAGTAAGTTTATTCAGGTATACTCAAATACAGTTACATAGATTATACATAGCAGCACATGTGTAACCTTGGGTAACCCCAAAAACTCAGCCAGAGTGACTTATTTCCATTGGGGTGTCAGAGACAGTTCTATCTATTTCCTGATGAGATCTGCTTCGGGGGACACCTTATTGAATGCTTCCTGAAGAGCAAAAAAACACTGCTATCGCGTCTCTGAAGTAAGAACTTTCTCCCATCACTACCCCACCTATGTTCGTCATTACACAAGAGGCAGCATCATGGTAGGTGGCGCTACCAACCAAGGGTTCGTCTGTGCGGCAGAAAGCAGCATAGTTTCCCCTCCCAACAGTTTAACCACGGATGCCGCAGGAGGAGGTCTGTACGCTCTCGTCGTCTCCTGAAAGATTACTGCCTTATTATGGCAGATGCAGGCTTCTTCCGCGTAAGTAGATAGTTGCAGGACTGGTAGGTGAGGGGGTAATGGTATTGAGGGAAGGGAAAGTTGCCTGGCAGTAAGAGGCAGATAAGTGGAGTGACTGGGAGAGTGGCGGCGTCTGCTCAACATGGCCGCCTTAATCCACTCAACTGTTCCTAAAATTAGTTTTGGCATAACTATAGCTTAGCACAGCAGACTTGTTTGGAGTGTATAAATTTATTCCGCTACGTGTAGTTTAGATTATAAAAAATAGGTCAAATTCCTAGACCAAGTAGAAGAGTAAGGTAATATAGGCGAGTGAACATTGGTGTGAGGCGCAGGCTGGCATCTTGACTGTGATCATCCAGCCTGGTAAATACTTCTGCTGACTTAACAACAGTTATTATAATAAGTGTATGTTTTGACCTTGTGATTGTCATATATAGACTGGCATAGCCCCACACCGCCGATGACCCAAAGATTGTTAAAAGAAAGAACCTCTGTCGAGAAATAATTTTTTTTAATATATTAACTTGAAGGTATATAATACCTCGATGAGCGAGACGTGCAACACCAAGGTACCGAAACTTTTCACCTATGCAACAGAATTCTTGGGTCGAATATATGCGGTTATATTGCTAGAGACAGAAAATTTTTAGGTGATCACTCCCCTAGACTAAAGCAGACTTACATATTGAAGCTAGAAGTGAGACATAGCTGCTGCAGATAACACAGGTGAGCAGGACCCTCTAGTAAAAGTAGATCATGTTGAAAATGGTACGAAATACTGACAAGTTGATGACTGAGTGCATCTTTATTTCACTACTACACCTGCTGCCTCTATTTGACTGAAGCTTACTGTGTAGGCAAAACTTTTCAGCATTAAAGATACCCAATTGTTTAACATGCTTCTTACTCATCAAAAATAAGTCTAAAGTTCAAGAATACAGCTGTACCAAGATGTCTGACATAACGACTGATCATCTTGATACAAAGGATGTCTTTGCCAACCTTTTTGCTAACCACTGGTTAACATGCAATTGGGCCCTACACACCTGTGATGGTATCTCTATCTGCTACACCTCACTTCTGGCACCAGAACATTATTCTGGCCTCGTGCTTTTACTCCCATATATGAATTTGTATAACTTCTTTTAAATATAGATTAAAATTAAACAAAATAGATTAAAGATATGCAGGGTGTGTTACCTCTGTGTCACATCTTTCCTGACTATATATAATCTATATATAGTCAGGAAAGTGTCTCTCTCTCGACATGAAAAACTTAATCTCCACATAAAATATTGTCTCAAAGGTTTCCAGTCTTCCATAGGGTCTATTATTAACATGGTTATATCTGAACTTTTAACATAAGCAATGATATTTTTTTTTAAGTATAGTGGTAAAAACCTCCATTTAATGGATTTCAGATTTAATGGACTAAGTACAGTTTGCATAATCTCCTGAAGCAGGTCTTTTGTTTCCAGAATTATTTGCTTTTGTTATGATATGCTGGGAAAATTGAAATTTAGTCTGATGCTTTTAGAATTATCTATTATTTTTTAGTCATGGACACTAAGCATTGCTTATAAGCACCCTCTTCACCCTGTTAGTACATTAACCATTTTACTATCCAAACCTCCGAAATTAATATTTCTCCCAGTTTCCGAAATTAATATTGTTGCAATGATAATCTTTTTCTGAAGGTAATGATACCAGATGTACAAAATCAGATGGAGGTCCTACGGAATTATACAAGTGCAAAGTTAGCGGTCTGGGCACAATTTATGCATTGGTAATTTCACTGATTTTGAGCCCTTTCTTAGGTCAATTTCATTGCTCCATTCGACTACATTCTTAGCTATTTTGTTAGCATACCTTGTGTTATAATGAGGAACACAAGAAATTGCCCATTTCATCTTATTACTGTTACTCAGTAAGTGCACAGAATTTGGTAATTTGACCAATTTTACACAAAATTGAAAAATACCAATTTAATGGAAAACATTTTTGCTTATTAATCGTGTCCCCAAACCTCCTGTATTACTCTTGCCTTCCATTTTAAATTCAGTATCACAAAAATAGAAGATTTTTTTCTAGTTTCCAGGTAAAATACAACCAGGAATGATTGGTTATGGTTTACAGCATCACAATAATTGAATCAGACCTATTAAAAACCCATAAAACAGAACAGGGGTGTAGGGAGGCCTTACCCATCTTCAGGAGAGTTGGCAAAAATATAACATTTCCACTACCTTGAGCCCAGTTTTCAGCTAATTCCAATCCTGAAACTATATATCATTAGTGTCTTCCATTCTGTCAAATGATACCATGAAACATTCAATAAAACCATAAAAACTATCCTAGAAAGCAACTCGTCCACTATTTTAAACCAAGCACACACAGTTTTGCTTTTCTCATCATTCACCATGTGTCGTAGGATTTTTTTTTTTATACTGTGCACACACTTGCTACACAGACCCGTTCTCTCGTATCTAGGCCAAAATTTACCGCTCACAGGTTCTTAGTGAGCTGATCTCATGATGTACAATTATGTGAGGCCTAAGTGATGTAGGTCTACATTGTGGCAACTGAAAGTGTTAAATTCAGGTTTTACTCTACAGTGGTAACATGGTCATAACCGTGGATAATCTGGCAAAGCTCAGTACATAGTATGATTATTTTCCATTATGGTCACTTGCTTTGTATCCTATTTTTTTTCATGCATGTATGGTATTTTTTTAACATGTTAAAATTACAAGGAAAAAAAAGTTTCACTTTTGAAGGTGTTAGGTAAAGTCATCAAACTTGTAAAATTGCCGTTGTTTGCGAGTTATAAAGGTGGTAGGTTTGGTTTATTTGTTAAACTATACTCGTATATTATTCAGAGACATAATTTAGATTCAAGTTAATGTTTGTCAATGGTTTTACTAAATTATGTAGAACTCTTCACAGTAGAAAACTATCAAGAGTTTCTAAACCAATAAATGGCCTAGCAACATTATAATAAATCTTTATATCTACAAATATATGTACAAGGTATACAGCCCTAGCTGACATCAGTGACATACTACTATAGAAAGCCGCTTGTTATGCAGAGCATTTCGGGCAAATTAGGTCAATTTTGTCCCAGGATGTGACCCAAACCCGTCAACTAACACCCAGGTACCCATTTTATACTGATGGGTGAACATGGACAGCAGGTGTCTTGTGGAAACACATCCTAATGTTTTTCAGCTATACCAGGGATTCGAACTCCGGACCTCTGTGTGAGAGCTGAGTGCTCTAGCGATTGAGCTACACGGCACCATTTCTTCTGACTCTGAAAAGAAATGTCACGTGTTCTGTATGTATACATATTTAAAATTTAGTGAGATTTTTTTTAATAATAAAGTTCATTTTATAGGTAATTTTTTATATAGAAACCTAGTGGAAACTTCTGACAATGAAGAAGACATGTAGTATAGAATAAGCTTTATCAAGTCTTGATTTAACCCTTTGACAGCTTTGGTCGTACATATACGTCTTATGAGCCAGTGTTCAGACGTATATATACTCAATAATTCTAGTGGCTTCAAATCAAGCAGGAGAAAGCTGGTAGGCCCCCATGTGAGAGAATGGGTCTGTGGGGTCAGTGTACACCACATAAAAATCCTGCAGCACGCAGTGCGTAATGAATTTTTTTTTTATTAAAACGCCAACTTTGAGGTGTATTTTCGTATAGCATTTATCATTGTATTCTGGTTTTCATGGTCTCACGTGATAAAATAGAAAACACATTGCAGAAATAGAGGTAATTTTGATTAGTTTCACGATGAAAACGACCTTGAAATTAAGCTCAAAGTAACAAATGTTCGATTTTTACTAATGTTCAAGAAGTAAGCAAATCACACCACACATTCAATACACACCAACTGGGGAGTCTAATATTCTTTCACTAGTGCACTGATATTATTTATACCATTTTTACAGTAATGCAGTAGTCTGCATAACAGTAAATTTTGTACTTTTTGTATGAATAAAAAATCAAAATAGTAATATAAGAGGGGTCTAGAGACATGACTGATGAATAGAGGATATGTTATTTTAGTGCCAAGAATGTTTGCATTGTTTATTCTGGACCCTATTTTGAAATTGGCATTTTTTTTTAATTTGTGTGAAATTGGCCAAATTACAAATTTCTGACCACTTTATTGGGTAGTTCAAATTGGTAAATGGGCAGTTTCTTGTACTCAATTGGTTGAAAAAATTGAGTTCTAAAGAAATAGCTATGAGTTTGGTCAACTGGAACAACAGAACTGGCCAAAAACAGGGCTCAAAGTTGGCAAAATCGCTGATCCGTATATGTCGCCGAGACCACTAACTTCATGGGAGTGTAAGTCCGTGAGTTTTCAACTAAATTTCGTACTTTTGGTGTCATTATCACCAGGAAAAGATTCTCTATCATTTCATAAGAAAAATAATTTTTTTTTTTTTTCCAAAAATTTTGTGACATCGAATGACAGTTTCAGAAAGGGGCTTGCGACAGTCATAGGGTTAATAGAGTTGTAGGTGCATAATGTCTCAGAGACTTGTTCAGCAACATGTCTTTACTTCAGAAACTACAGTAATTCATCCCTCGTGTTTAATACTGCAAGGTGTTTAGAAAACATTTATCATTATATATCTCATCTTTTCAGGGTACTTCTGCAGAGCAGGATAACCGGTTTAGCAATAAAGATAAGAAGCTCATGAAGGAGATGAAATTTGCTGAAAGCTTAAGCAAAAAGGTAAGATGTTAATTGAGTTATGCTTTGTATTAAAATTAAAATACTATACAGTATTTTTTAATGTTGTCATTTCCTAACACAAAATGTCCTCTGGGTTGCTGAAAATAAGTTTTGCCTTAAAATTTTATACTTTATTAGTAAAAACAATTAAGTGCACTTTTATTTCCTGATTATACCTATTTCAGGCTTACATGAGTTTGGAATGCCTCAGCTGGTGGATGCTTGTGTGTTCATACTTTTATTTTTGAATTGAGGATTAGTAAATTTTATATATATTTTTAAATACATACTGTATTAGTATCCCCAGAAAGGCTCTGGATCACACCAAGACTCGTCTCTCTTCATATGGGGTACCTTGACGCTGAAGGACTCTTCATTAAAGGAATTAAAGCTACCCTCTGACCTGATTGTTTCCCAGTCCTGGGTGCCTATAGGTTCAGCTCTTCCCTCTGGTTATGATGGCGACATTTTAATTTTCCACTGAAAATACTCTCATAATGCAACCTAACCTTACTAGCCTTTTTATAAAGAAACTAAAAACTTGATTTACCTAACTTTTCCTTGAATTTGCGTGACTTAATAGTGCCTCTTGCGGGGAGGGGGGGGGGTTCTTCTTATTAATCAAAGATATCTTTTTTTTTTCTTCTGTATACTGTCTTGATAATGGTAATTTACATTGAATTGGTATATACATATGCTTACACATCAAAATTTTTATTGCAATTGGACAGTGTAGCTTAATATACCTTGCATGTGTTCATTTATCTAAATTGATTGCCAATATATGTATATAATTCTTCTTTCTTTCAACAAACCGGCCGTATCCCACCGAGGCAGGGTGGCCCAAAAAGAAAAACGAGTTTCTCTTTTTAAATTTAGTAATTTATACAGAAGGGATTACTAGCCCCTTGCTCCCAGCATTTTAGTCGCCTCTTACAGCATGCATGGCTTACAGGGGAAGAATTTTGTTCTACTTCCCCATGGGGATAGGAGGAAATAAACAAGAACAAAAACTAGAAAGAAAATACACCTACCATCCGACTTACGACCTGCTCGACATATGACGACTCGACGTATGACAGTTTTTTTTTATGCCAAATTTCTGGGAAATAAATAAGTGTTTGTGTTGTACACAGTGTTTATCCTAAACCTTACAGTATAAAATACAGTACCAACAGCATAAGAAGTATGGTAAAACATGAAATACCAAAATAAAACAATAAAATAGTCATTACAAAAAATGTTATGTTGATATTCAGTAGTAAAGTTCGACTTATGTCCATTTCGACTTAAGACCGGTTTCTCGGAACCGAACTCTGTCGTAAGTCAGATGGTAGGTGTAGAAGAAAACCCGGGGGGGGGGGGGGGGTATATGTATGCTTGTACATGTATGTGTAGTGTGACCTAAGTGTAAGTACCTGAAATCTTGCATGTTTGAGACAAAAAAGACGCCAGCAATCCTTCCATCATGTAAAACAATTACAGGCTTTTGTTTTACACTCGCTTGGCAGAATGGTAGTACCTCCCTGGGTGGTTGCTGTCTACCAACCTACTACCTAGAATGTATATAATTATATTATATAAACTATACCTAGCATAATTTCATTAATTGTTAATGAATCAATATTATATATTTGCCAATATTCATTTTAGCAGTTTTTATTATTATTATCACACTGGCCAATTCCCACCAAGGCAGGGTGGCCCGATAAAGAAAAACTTTCACCATCATTCACTCCATCACTGTCTTGCCAGAAGGGTGCTTTACACTACAGTTTTTAAACTGCAACATTAACACCCCTCCTTCAGAGTGCAGGCACTGTACTTCCCATCTCCAGGACTCAAGTCCGGCCTGCCGGTTTCCCTGAACCCCTTCATAAATGTTACTTTGCTCACACTCCAACAGCACGTCAAGTATTAAAAACCATTTGTCTCCATTCACTCCTATCAAACACGCTCACACATGCCTGCTGGAAGTCCAAGCCCCTCGCACACAAAACCTCCTTTACCCCCTCCCTCCAACCTTTCCTAGGCCGACCCCTACCCCGCCTTCCTTTCACTACAGACTGATACACTCTTGAAGTCACTCGGTTTCGCTCCATTCTCTCTACATGTCCGAACCACCTCAACAAACCTTCCTCAGCCCTCTGGACAACAGTTTTGGTAATCCCGCACCTCCTCCTAACTTCCAAACTACGAATTCTCTGCATTATATTCACACCACACATTTCCCTCAGACTTGACATCTCCACTGCCTCCAGCCTTCTCGCTGCAACATTCATCACCCATGCTTCACACCTATATAAGAGCGTTGGTAAAACTGTACTCTCATACATTCCCTCTTTGCCTCCAAGGACAAAGTTCTTTGTCTCCACAGACTCCTAAGTGCACCACTCACCCTTTTCCCCTCATCAATTCTATGATTCACCTCATCTTTCATTAGACCCATCCCCTGACACGTCCACTCCCAAATATCTGAATGCATTCACCTCCTCCATACTCTCTCCCTCCAATCTGATATCCAATCTTTCATCACCTAATCTTTTTGTTATCCTCATAACCTTACTCTTTCCTGTATTCACTTTTAATTTTCTTCTTTTGCGCACCCTACCAAATTCTCCCCCCAATCTCTGCAATTTTCTCTTCAGAACCCTCCCAAGAGCACAGTGTAAATAGCAAAGAGAAAACGGTGCCAACTCCCATTTTATGTGTGATTCTTTACCCTTTTAAACTCCCACCCCTTTTGCCCTTTTTTAAGCCCCCGGGGGCCTTTTCTTCTCTTAAAAACCCATTTTTAAAAAATTTATTAAAACCAGGGGGAAACATCACAACCCTTTTTTAAAGGGCCCCTATTTTTTAGGGAAAAATTTAAATTTTCCCCTTTTTTTTCTCAAAATTCAAAATTGACCCTTTCATTTTCCCTGGTTTAAAAAAACTTTCATGCTTTCGAAACCAAATTTCCTACACCATACACCTGCTGCATTGCCCCTTGCCCCCTTTTTCCCCCCTTGTCTTTACCTTTTTCCCCAATCCTTAAAATGCCACAAAAGACCCTTTAGCCTTATTTTTAATTGGTTCACTTATATGTTTCACGGTAAACACCGGGTTTCCACATCCCCTACCTTTCTAAAGCCCCCTTGTTCATCTGCTACCCCTTTTCTGGGTCTTACTCTTAATTCTTTCAATAATAATTCTCCCAAACACTTTTCCCAGGTAAAATCAACAGACTTATCCCCCTAAAATTTTTTGCACCTGTTTTTGCCCCCCTTTCCCTTTAATAAAAAGGAAAACTTTGCATGTTTCTTTTCCCAATCCCGGGTCCCTTAAACCCTTCCAAAATTTTATTAAATAATTGACCAACCCCCCAAAAAATTTTCCCCAAACCGGGTTTTTTAACATTTCTATCTTTATCCCATAAAATCCGGTGCCTTACCCCTTTCTTTTTTCCCTTTAACTCCCTTTCACGAACTTCCCCCCCCACTCAAAAATTTGGCTTTCCCTCTCCCCCTTTCAAGGATGTTTTTTTCCCCTCCTTGCCCAAAACCACGAAATCACAGCCCCCTTCTTCTCAACGTTTAAATTTTTCCTAAAAATTTTCCCCTCCATTTTCCCCCAATCCCTTTAAAATTTTCTCCTTTAAAAAACCTCTCCCCCTTCTTTTTTAACTAACAAATCCTTTTGTTCTCTAGGCCCCTTTAAAAACTTGTTAATCCCCACCCAAAAACTTTTTCTTTTTTAAACCCAAAATTTTTTGATAAAAAATCTCCCCCATTTCCTCTTTTGTTGATAACATTTTCTCTTCTTTTCCTTTGGGAAACATTTTCTACTTTTTTAAAAAACTTCTCAAGTTTATTTTTTTTCCCCCTTATGCTTCTTTAATCATCTTTCCCCCAAATGCCCCTCTTCCCCCCCGCCCCACTTTCCCTGTAACCAAAAATTTGCTAAAACACTTAAAACTGCATTTTTAACCCCCCCCAAAACCTCTTCGCCCCCTTTTGGCCTATGCTCTCATTACCCATTTCCCTCCAATAGCTGTTTATATTTCCCCTAACTCCCCTTCCTCTTTTAGTTTATAAACCTTCCTCCTCTTCCCGATGCTTTATTCTCCTTGTACCCCCAAACTACCTTTTACTTTCAATTTTAAACTACAACTAAAAAGTTACTGTTTTGTTGGGGGCCCCTCTATAAACAATACATCCCGAGTCTAATTTAACAGTTCTTTTATCTACCCAAAACATTTTAATTTCCAAAAAAATTCTGTTTTTTCGCCCTTTCATTTATCTTGGGAACTTTTTATCCTTTTTCTTTTAAAAAAGGGATTTCCCTTTTAAAAAAACCCCTTTCTTTACAAAATTCAATCAAAGGGGGTTTTTTTTATCATTTACAACCCGGCACCCCAAAACTTACCCACCAACCTCTCTAAATTTCTCTACTTTTTGCATTCGTCCCTTAAACCCCATTACTCTCTCACTTGGTTCAAAAAGGGTCCTATACATTACTTAACATCTCAGCAATATCTGTTTTTTGTCAAACCGCAATTACCCACGCACATTCAAGCTTTCCCCGTTTTATAAAAGTTTTTCTACTCTTTTTTAGGGAAGGGTTTCCCGGGAAGGGGGTTTTAGCCCATTGCTCCCGGGTTTTAAATTGCCCCAAAAACGACACGCATTTGGGTTTTTGGGGGAAAGATTTTTTTCCACTTCCCCATGGACAATAGAAGAAATAAAGAACAAGAGCTATTTAGAAAAAGGGGAAAAACCTAGATGTATGTATATATATATGCATGTGCATGTCTGTGAAGTGTGACCAAAGTGTAAGTAGGAGTAGCAAGATATCCCTGTTATCTAGCATGTTTATGAGACAGAAAAAGAAACCAGCAATCCTACTATCATGCAAAACAGTTACAGGTTTCTGTTTCACAGTCATCTGGCAGGACGGTAGTACTTCCCCTGGGTGGTTGCTGTCTACCAGGTGATATGCAGTGGCAACTGCATATCACC